TATTAAATTATAAGTTAATACAAACATTTAAGAATAAAGATAGATTACCCACATAATAAAATWCTGATATTATTAATATTCTTAGATATCACTGTCCTGTACAACAACAYCTAACTGTGCAATCACCGAGTCCAAAGTACATGATGTAATAGAACTAGAACTTGTTATTCATGTAATCCTTTGTTAAATGAGTATGCTGTTTTTCGATTAAATATTTAATATACTATAAATAACTGTGACTACCTAAAATATCTTATTAGACTTAATATGATCTGAGAGTGGTAGGACTTAAARGGTTTTAATGATTGMATTGATAAATAATTCAACCGTCAATTGTTTCGGACTATTTTTCTTTCAAATTTGTCTCCAAATTCACCTAAATACAAAATAAAATTTAGTACATAATCAGCAAAACTAAAAATTAAGCGACTGCGAGTTTTTCGGAGGTGAGATTTCTAGCTAAACCTACTGGCTTTATTAATCACACATTTTCAATTTAAGCAGTGACCTGTTTCCGGACATATCTTCCGGAAAAACGTCTCGTGTATGACCACCAGGGCCGTAGCTAGAACAAATTTTTGGGGGGAGGGGAAGATTTGTAAATCAAATAATATTTTCATTTTAAGTAATTAAAAAAACACTCATTTAAAAAAAAATCACATTTTACTATGTTAATGCATAATAATTATTTTAAAGTAAATTTATATTATATACAATGTTATAAATTAAATTTATTAGTTGTAAAATATTTCGGAGGGGGTTGAACCCCTAACACCCCCCCACCATATACGGCCTTGATGACCACTTTAAAAGTTCGTTTCTAAAAGCCCTAGCTTGAGCAGGAGGCAATTGGTGYGTCTCGGTGTTTTTTAGTGACGTTGACAAAAACGAATTTTTCAGTTTGTAACTTGAAAATTAATATGCGATCAATTACAAATTCGATGGTCCAAAAATCATTATATTATGAACCATATATATTATCAAAGATATTGACGCGGATAAAGTCTATGCCCCCTRGAGCCTGGTGCCACAACACAACGTCCATACTCCATGTTAGTATATATTACACTTAGGTATTGAGCATTGACGTAATTGCAATTTGGAAGATACAATGCGGTACGATGAAAATGATGTTTTATTCTTAAAATTTAATCCAAACTTGTTTATAGACACGTAATATTATTGTAGGTATTATTATTATTATAACTGCAATTCATTGACCTTCATTTGTTAGGTAGGTATATAATTTTTAAGTGACATAGACAAAATTATTGGTTTACAATGACTCGCGAATTCCAAGTCTCATTAATTTTGCGTTTGGTGTTCTGTACCCCAGCGAATTACTAACAAAATGTTTCATGTATTAAATTATTGTTTCAACATACTCATTGAATTCAAAATAGCACGTGCAACGCAYAGGAAATCTATTTTTAGGGTAAATGCCTGAATCTTCACATTGTAGGTATACATTTGCAAGTAAAAATAAATCTTTTTTCATGACACGTGATCGCGTAAATTGGCTGTTTCAAACGATATTCTGTATGCAACAAC